TTCATTCGTTTCTGAAGAAACGACCCGCAATGTAAAAATCGGACGACGAGTAAGACAAGGGAAGTGAAGCAAGTACAATGTAAAGATAAAAAGGAGACAAACAATCACAAAAGCAATGGAAAAACGAATTCTTTTTAAGATGCATCGTAATTTCCTTCTAGGCGCTCTGGTGAGCAATCGTTTGCTCGGCGGGACGGATTTGGGACTCGAGAAGGGCGAACATGATCTGAAATTTAGCAATTCATTAATCATGGCTATCATACGGCAAAACCATAAGCTTACAAGTGCTAAGTACCCACTAGGATCTTTTTTTTATAGCAACTATAGCTAAAAATATTACCTGCACGGTTGAATCAAGATCGAAATCGTTATGCCATCCCCAATCGCGTCGTGCATTTTCATCGGCGAGTGCTTTCGGCCACGAGTTGGCTAAAGAATAAAAATGAGAACTGCTAATTCTAAAAAGCTCACCAATCTTTTGTCGAATCGGACAAATGTTCTCGTAGGTGATCTTGAAGTCGGGCATCACCTGGAAATTGTTATTATCAGCTTAATGCTTAACAAATCAGTTATACCTTTCGAATGGCTGTCGCAATCTCGTCGGGAGTAAAGGAGAACCCGGTCACATTGTAGGTCCGCATTGATAGTTGCTCTTGTTGAGCGGCGAGGAACTAAAACCAAAAATTCATTATAATAAATGTAATCGTTCCAAGAGCAGCTTCATTTCTTTTTCAGATTGATCCTGAGTCAGAAAAAAAAATAACTCACAAAAACAATGGCGGCCATGCAATCCGTGTCGTACATCATCGGCAAGCGGGTGTTCGGCTCGAGGTAGCACCTGAACGGAAAATAATAGATCTATCATCTCGCTACCAGTCTTAAAAAATTGTATACGCTCCAGAATGATCAAAAACTAATTGTAAAAAGCAACTCACTTATGGTGTCCATGTAAAATCGCGTCGTAGAAGATTTGAATGGCGTAATCTGAATAAAAAATGATCTTATTCTTTTTAAACTTTCTATCAGATTTAAAACTTGTTAGTCTCCTTTTAACATTTAAAAAAAACGAACCAGTTGTGCCACCACCGGGTTTCGTCGCCGAGATGATCCCCGGGAAGCGGAGACACCGGAAATCGACGCCAAAACGCTCGGCGTAGTACTCGCCCAGCAGCTCGTTGTACACCTAAACGTGGAACATTAGAATTGGAACATAAAAAAATCAACTCAGCACCCGACAATTGGTCGACAATCAACCAATCCAAGGTCCATTTTAAAAAAGATCCGACTAACCTTTGTCACTCCATAAATGGTTCTCGGTCGTTGAATCGTTAAATCGGGTGTCATCTCGAGTGGGGTCGTCGGCCCGAAAGCGCCGATTGTCGACGGGATGAACACCTTCAGGCGGTGTTTCCTGGAAAAGCATAACAGTAACGAATTATCACTAAAATGTGAATACCTGGCCACTTCGAGGATTTTGTTCGACGCGTTTGCATTCACCTCGATCGCCAATGGCACATTTTGCTCACCCACCGCCGAGAGCAAGGCCGAGAAATGAACCTGGAATGTAAAAAGTAAAAAAATTAGATAAAACCTTTAAAATGTGAAAAGTTTAGAATAAAAATGTGTCACCAGCAAAAAAATGTCGACGATTATCGACAAATTAAAATAATTTAGATATGAAAACGTTGGCAAACGTATTTTCTGCAGCTTTTTATTGGGTTAAAAGATTCTCTACAGAAATTTCGAAAAATTTCTCACCAGTGTGTCGATGTTGTTGTTGACAACGGCCTCCTCGATTGCCCGCTCGTTGGTGACGTCGAGGAACGAGTAGTTGACTGAAATAAAGAAAAATTAAAAAGACTGGTCAAGTTTCGGCATCAAGACTTGTTTTGTTTTAAAGTTTAACTCAACTTCTGCCTCTTCTGGAACGCAATTTAGCTTTTGACAAACGAAAAGCAAATCACTAACCAACATCGGGCGCGTTTGGGTCACACTTAACGATATCCGTCATCACCACCGATTCCTCGCCGTACATAAATCTGAAAAAAGGTGAAATGGGTAAGCATCAGTCAGCTTACAATCACTGGACACGAAATTTTGAACCTGAGCATCGTTCCTAATCCCCTTCCCAATTGTCCCAACGAACCGGTGATGAGGGTTTTCGGTTTGATAACCGTCGACTCGGCCAACGCACGGAAACGAGTCAATGGGTCCTGAAATGAGATAGTGAACTTGTAAAATGACAATGGGGATTTAGACACTCTTAGATTTAGACACAATAGTTAATTTGTAACCCTTACCGTTCTCATCATGTGTTGTCCGCGTCGCTCGATTCCTCGACGAATCGCCTGTGAGGGGAAGAGGAGACCGCGTCTGGCGTTCATCTGACACGAGAATTTTTATGATTTTAAGGGAACAAGCAAACAAAAAGGAAACAAGTTCACATGCTAATTTCAACACAAATTTGATGTTAGAATCATATGGAAATTTGGTTGATCAACTCTTATCTGAAGCTTAAATACCTTAGAAATCTAAAATGTTCAACCTTGTCCACTCCAGCTTGAACGTGAATGAGAAAATGGAACCGCGCACTCCCAAAGATCAAACGTGATTTATTAGAGAACCACTCTGCTGATCAAATCCAAGACAAAAACAAAAAAAAGGTTACCCAGCAGGTTTTATGTTTATGACATTTCGAAAATGAACTCATATCATTTGGATATAGAAAAGAATAGAATTCAAAGAGTTTTAATATGAAACTGCAAGACAGGCATTATTTCAAAACTCAAGCCCCATACTGCTCTCCAGGACGGGAGAGAAATCAAAAAACTAGAACGACTCGAGCAAAATGGGCTGGGATATGGGTGCGGATCTTTTCTATGGGTTTTGTCTCGCCACAGTCTCATCCTTCAACCCCTCCCCTCGCCAATCTCACCCCACGTGCACTCATCCCACATTCGCTGATCGAATTTGTGTCTGTGCTTGGTGATGTGATTAGGAAATTGGTGAGAATCGCTCAACTTGGCGAGCATTTTGAAATAGCCTAGGTATTGCGGAAGTGTCAGAGTTGATTTTTGACCAAGATTGGATTTTTTTTTAAAAAAAACCTGCTTGAATCTGTCTAACGATTGTCAAATGATCACCCAAGAATGGAAAGATTCGTTGAAAGCATCGAAAAACTCTCCCCACTAGCCCAATAAACACAAAAACCGCACAAAAAAGATTGATGACTTGTGAGAGTTGATATCCATACACTAATATCCCATTTACTGTCCCCTGGAATGGCAAAGAAATTTGAGAAAGGAATGCGCTCTCCCTGGGTTCATTCAGACCGCCAATCACCCCACGTGGAAGATCAAACCCTTCCCACAAAAAGCAGTTATCAAATTTCAACGTCAACTAATCTCTTGTCGATTTTGGATGTCACATGAGAAAATAAAAGCATTGAAAACAAGATATCGAAAAGTTGGAACTAGACGAAGTCTTGCCTAACAAGTGGTGTAACTCAAAATGTTCAAAGCAACAAAAACCCGTCTCGGTTGCATTCTTTAGGCTATGTGCGTTCCAGAATCAAGGAAAAACCATTCCTCCACTAGAGTGTCGGCAACGAAACCAACCCCACGTGGCCAGCCCTGAACTCACCCCATCTTTCTTCTCACCCCATCTTTCTTGCACTCCTTCCAATCTCTCTCTCCTCTTCACGTTTTTTTTAAAATTTTACCTTTCCCCAATCTGTCACATTGTCAAATTCCCATGTCGGAAACGAAGTTTTCGCGGATTTCCCCCCCTCTTTGCCCCGCCAATCACCGTCGCACAAATTTATCACTGTCTTTCGTCTTTGCACCCAATTTCTTCAAAAACCTCTCAATTATGGCATGCACTGGTGATGGAAATTTGTGGGGAAAGCGGCGTTTTTCCATTTCCCTTTTTCTTTTTTTGTTAGGTGAAATCTCGGTACTTTTTCGGTTGGTTGAGAAAGTGCTGTGCACAGAGCCGATAATCAAATCAAATCAAATCACCAAATCAATTTGAAGAAAGAAATTAGCCCTTAATTTTGCGGGAAACTTTTCAAATTTCGGGTACTTTCAGCGACAAAGAGTTTTTGTTTTGTTTTCATGGGGCAAACTCGAGTTTTGTGTGTGTATTTCTGCAAGAAGTATTAATTTTCGCCAAATACTCAATACCCAAAATGACTCATTTTTGAGTAGTGCAAAGTCTACAGATGATTCAAATCAAAAATCTATTTTTATATTCAACAAAAATGATTACCTAAACTCGAGGAATGCTTCTTATTTTTGCTTTTTTTTAAAATTTTACTGAAATTTATGATTAGCTTGCGAAACAACCATAAAACTGTCAAAAAGGAGAGTGGAAATTTTTCTTTTTTTCAATTAAAAACCCCAAAATTGTGTTCCAGAAATTTGTGAGAAATTAAAATTTTGTAAAATTGGTGTAAAATTTGAGAAAAGCTAGGCTTATCGACTTTTGGGATTTAATCAGTGAAGATTTTATCATTGAATCTGAAGTTGATTTAGTTTTAGGAATGATTAAATTCATGATTAAATTCAAGGATTCAGCGAATGCAAATGATGATGGCAAGCAATTTTAACTCAACTTCTTGACACCGAAGAGAATTTGATATTGAAATAAATTCAAACATTTCTACTTTGGCTACCAAGCTTGAGTTTCAGGCGTGAACTTGTGAACTTGCTTGTGTGATTGTGGATTTGAAGATTCAATGTTTGAAAGAACCGCTTTCTTTATATTGTAATCAATGAATCAATGAATTGGAAAGCACTTAAATGAAAGTAAATCAAAGTTTTAAAAAAAAAGATTTATTTCCCCATTTCAGTGATCATTTGTTTAGTGATCCGCCTCGATTTTTGATAAATTCCCCTCAACTTTCAATAGTTCTAATGATGCAGGCAAGTTCAACAATGTCCAACAACTGCCTCAACAGCCTCAAACGGGGATTTTACCTGGAATTTGTCCTTAAATCATTCACATATCATTTCCGAATTGAGTGCCAGCTCTTGAATGCCCAGAAAATGAACTTGCACCGTACTGCAGCCGATCATTTCAGCTGCTGCGCAGTACTCGGGCAAATCATCGAGAAATAGCACCTCTTCGGGTTCGCCAATACCCAAATCGCCCAATCTGGAGTGCATGAGCTGAAAATTTCTTGGAATTTTATGTACGAATTAAAGATTAAAGCAAGTTAATAAGCATCTGACTCTAGAAAGTCTCATGGTAGTGGTGCTATTTTCTTGCTTCTAAAATCATTTAAACGCTTGCTGATTTTTTCTTTATCTAAGTTTAATTGTGAAATTATTATAGTGGATGTTTTCTTGCCAAAAAGACCCGCTTTTTCATTATTTATCGAGGGGGGGGGGAGCAATGCAACCTTTTTTTGCGCAACCGGTCAAGTCGTCAAGAAAGAGGAGCTCTTTGGCCTGTTAACGACCACTCACCAACGACTTGGGCACGCCGGACGAGATATAATGTAGCATGGACTACGAGACTATCATGGGATCTCAAAAGAAGTAATCGAAATTTTTGTCAAGTTGTGCCCAGAATGCGATCTCAAAAAAGGAACACCGAAGAAAGGAATAGTCGTGAAGCCAATTGTTACAAAGGATTTCAATGAGAGATGCCAGGTGGATTTAATCGGTCTTCAATCCGTTCCCGATGGAGAATTCAAGTTTTTGATGGTCTACCAGGATCTTCGTCGTTTTGCGGGCATTGCAAAGGAAAACGCAGTGTTGAAAAAAAGTTGTCGATCATCTAATGGAAATATTCGAAACGTTTGGAGCCCCAAAAATTCTTCAGTCCGACAACGGAAAGGAGTTCGCCAACAGATTCGTAAGCTTTTACTTTTGTGTCCTATCGAATTTCTTTATGACGCTTTATTTTGTTTGCTTTTAGGTCAAAGAACTCGTGAGCCGGTGGCCAAGCTGTCGAATAGTGTCGTCCTCGACACTCGCAGAGTCAAGGATCTGTAGAAAGAGCAAACCAGGATGTTGAGGTAAACTTTTAATAACATTAATTTTTTTGATATTTTTGGTTTAGAAAATTCTATTGACGCAATTGACGAAGCCACAATCAACAAGATGGGCTCGAATTCTTCCGATTGTCCGATCAATGAAGAATCAACGTTATCACCGCGGCATTGGGCGATCACCTTACGAAGCAATGGTTGGCTTTTTGGTATTATTGTTTATTTTTGTTGTTTAGTTTGGTCGAAAAATGCAAGTTGGGTTTCTTGATACAATTGCACTATCGAATGCCGAGCGAAGCATCGACGACAACGAAGAAGATGTACGTTTTCTATTTCTTTTTTTAATTAGGGCTTAGGTTCCTGATCAAGAAGATGTGAAAATCATCGATTGGAGTGAAACGATTCGGGGCGCAATCACAGACAATCCAATATTTTTTCCGGAGACAGATGACGAAGAAGATGCTATTGCGAAAGAAAAAGAAGGAGGTATTTTAAAAGTTTTTATTTCTTAATTAACTTTTAATTATTTTAGATTTTGTTCAACGGGACAAAGAAATTTAGCATCATCGCAATGGAGCGGCTCTTAAACAACAGAAACAGGCCGAAAAGATGCTCGAAAAATCTAAAAAGAGGTTGGTTCGATACTTATTTTAGTTTTGGGTTTATTAATTTTTAAGCTAGTGTTTAGATTTGGTGCTGTTGATGTCGAACAAACGGTTCGTTTGCCAATCGATGCAGTGGATCGTCCGAAAATCGGCCATTCAACGCTCTTCGGTATCGTCATGGAAGAAAACCAGGGATTCTATCAAATCGGCACCGCCAACGGTATTCTACGTTATTCTAATTAATTTTTCAAAGATTAGATTGACAAGGAATCAATTTGAGCCCGCCAATAAGAACTTCCTTTCGTTTGAAGAAGTGCCACAAGTTGAATCAACTTTTCGAGCCGCCGTAGGATCACAATCGCTGACTGGGACTCAAGGTAAACTTTTAAATAGTCCTATTTTAAGTTTCTTTCAGGTTACAAGCATTGCAAATGTGTGAACGGGCGATGCGCCTGGTGGAAAGCCAACCTGCAATGCAACAACCGATGCCACAAGAGCAACACCTGCAAGAATAAGTAAATTTCAGTTTATTTTGGTATTTTAATGTTTGTTTACTTAATAAAATTTGAAATTTAAAGCCTCAAAAGGCAAAAAAACATTCAGAGGTGATGAATGCAAAAATAGATCAAAACTAGTAATACTTGCAACTTTGCATAGAGCAAGTGTAACTCAAGCTTTCTTTTTTGAGACTTCATCGGTTAAATTTATGTTATTATTTGTCGGTATATTGAGAGTTTTATCGATATTTTGATCCTTTTTCATTGAATTTATTATGCATTTTTATAAATTTGGTCATTTGGTCATTTGGTCATTTGGTCATTTGGTCATTTGGTCATCACGTCATTTTTAAAGAACTTGTCTGTGAATTAATCATGAATATGTATTTACAGAGAAAACGATAAATCAGGCGTTTCTTTTTCTTTTGCATACATAATATGGAGTGGCGCTTTTGTCTTTCACGAAATTGTAGTCGAGACCCCATGTCTTTGGCAGGCACTCTGTTTGACCTCTTGATTCTGTATTGACGATCTGAACATTTTCCTTTTCGATCAATGACAAAACATTGATCACTTACATAAAGGATCCCCTCATCAGCATGATCCCAAGGCTCTCCGCCACACCATTCGTGCTTGAAATCGAAAGCACTTCCATCAAGCCATTTCAGTGTGCCGTTTTGCTAGAATCAGTAGGGTTAAAGTGGATCTTGTGAACAGTAAAAGCTTACAATTGCTTACAAAAGCTTACAATTGCGAATTTTTAAAAGGTGATTATGAAAATATTGTTCTAGCTTTAACCCATTCGAAACCGCAGCGTTTTTTCTTTTTTTTTCGTCTACGGACCAAGCCCTTTTTTGACATTTTTGACTCCGAAGCAGTTTATTTATGGTTGGAAAGATGTAAGAGAGTCTCCTACATCATTTATTTTTGATGAAGAACGATTTGGATTTGACTTCAGTACTTTTCAAGATCCTATCGATTATTGTTCTTATTTTATCGACGACAATATTTTAGTAGGCGAATCTAATAAACATGGAAAAAGGAAAACAAACTGGCAGGATTTCGATGCAAAATCTTTCAAGCTCTTCCTGGCTTCAAATGGGAATCGTCAAATTACCGAGAATTCGTGACTACTGGAGTGGATTAGGAGGATTTTCCCACATGTCCCACATTATGTCAAGTGCAAAATTTGAATCTATTCTTCGCAACCTGCGTTTTTGTGATAATGAACTGGATCCTGCAGGAGATCGGCTTTATAAGATTAGAGCTATTATGGAACATTTCAATGCAAAACCAGAGACTGCATTGATTCCGGGTAAATATGAAACATTTTTTTTGCCCACGTAATTTGTAGATCTGCTACAATTGGAATATACATGTAATGCTGAAAAACAGCAAAAAAAAAGCAATTAATTGAATGAAAATAGCTCAATTAGCGCTGCAGCGAATAATCGCTGCAGCGGTCCGTTCCTGAGTTTTTGCTGCAGCGATTATTCGCTGCAGAAGTTTCGAATGGGTTAAATTTCCTACAAAATGACACCTGAAAGATAAAAATCGGTTCACTGGGGGCTGAGATCGGAGGTTATCTTACCAAACATGTAATGGTGCAAGTAAGAGTCACCGAAAAACTCACTTGAATGCCGCCAGTTATGTAGAACCCGGCATCCAAATAGTGATCACTTGATACGCAGCACAAACCTGTAACTTATGTCTCATAGCTATCACTGGTTGAATGCATTGAAAGTGACTCTTTTTGAAACGATTTTTCCTTTAAAAATGTTCATAATTTCTCTACAAAATAATTCTACAAAAGCTTCAAAAAACCCCCAATAATTCCAAAAATTGTTTGCTCTGCTCATTGAAAAACGAACCGGCAACGAAATCGTTCTCGGCCTCGCTGTGAATAGAGACCAAGTGAGCTCCCTGACTCACACAATAAGTCTCTGTATCGTCATAAAAGCTGTCGGAAAACACCTAAAGTTCTCTCATATTATGAAAAGATTTCATGAAAATCAACCAAATATTCGTATCCAAGTTCGGGCGCATATTGCCATCCTTCTTTGCAATTAAACGGTGGTTGTTTGTGTGCTAAACAAAGGGCTTTTTGAAGGCGAAAGATCCCTCTAGTTGGTGACTGAGGCTTGGACTCGAACTCGTGATCTTTTATTGAACGATTGCTTTACCAAATGAACCAACTGGCATCAATCCTGCTAGGTCTTATGGGAATCGCTTTGTGAAACAACCTGGATAGCAACCGAATGAATCCGTTGTCACCGATGGATCGCGGGTTGTTGTTGTCGGGATGAACGGTGGTGCAACGCAGATGAAGCTGTTGTAAGTGGACGAATCGACAGGTTTCCACAAAAGATCCGTTGCATCCAACAGAGCTCCATCGCAAACAAAGCATCCACTCGAGTCTAAAGTTCAATTTTCATTTATTGCTTAATTCAATAATCAATTTCACAACTCACTTTTTTTGTCGAATCGTTGATAGTCGAATGGTGACTTATCAATCCACGACCATTGCCCATCATATTTCTCTGCTCCAAGCCATGACTGTGTTTTCCCGGTCAGATCTTTAAGTTTGATGTGATGTGGAGGGAAAAGAGAGAAAACTTACTAAATTGAAGCTCAGCGATTAGACTATTCTGAAAGGCGTTGTGAATCGATGGAAGATTCCCGCCCTCTCGTTGACAATACAGAAATGCCCATGCCCAGCTCTCTGCAAAGAAAATTTGCAAATTGCAGATCTCTCAGTCATGGAAACTCACCAAAATAACGAGTGTTGAGTATGCAAAGATTCAGAGCACTTGAGTAGAAATATCGCTCATCGTGGCAAGTTGTGTCAATGCGAATTGGAGCGATCGAGGAAGTAATTACAGTCAAAGAGATAAGTAAAGCAAATAGACAAAGCATTGTATTCATTTTGTTATGTTAATTCATGAAAGTGAGATGAGAAAATGGTATTTATACTAGCTGGTGATTTCACTCTGAATATCTACATTGAACGGCTTATCAAATAGAAAAAAAAGGAGACAAAGAACCCTCTGATCTTTTCTGCTTTTTGTGTGCCCGACCCTTCACGTAAAGACTACGATTAGCAAAATGTTTCTATTTTTTGTATATTCTTTGTAAGCTTATGTGATTGTGCCGAATATTCGACACCAAATTTAAATTTCGGATTACCTTTTGTATATACAAACAATCAATTACGTTTTGTATTGCCAATTTTCGTGTAGAGCATTTAGCTCGTTTACTGAATATCTTTAACGTTTTTTGCTTTATTTAACTGTTTGTTGCCAGAATTTCACGTCTTTTTTTCATTCATACGAAAGAAATAAACTTCTTTTAAATCGAATAAAACTATTATTTTCAAGTTGATTCGTCAGATTGCACGTCAAATTTGGGAAAAAGTTTGTTGATTGTCGATCAGATATCACGATCAATTAAGGAGAAAGCATCTCTGCCTGGATAAAAGATTCAAGAGGAAACACTCCTCGTACAAACCAATTTTATTCAGTATACGCAGGCCGACCCTATCCTGGGAAAAGTTGAAGTTGAATCAAGTTCGGGTCTCTTTTCTCTTCGATCTCTCTCTTTCATCAGAGCAAATCGATCAACAACAAGAACGCATTAGCACTTTTCTTCTAACAAATCTCTTACGCTTTTTATTCGTTAGAGATTTCTATTGATTCACCCCTCAATTTCCACAATCGATGGCCGGCTTGAGCAAGAAACTCACCGTTTTTCAATCCCCTAAACTACTTATTGTTTGCAACACCGTGAAGATTTTTGAAACTATATGAAACTGGTTAACTATTCAAAATTGGCTGTTTTGAGTAAGCCAATAATACGGATTTGTTCTTCATTTTATCATTACCAAAATGCCAAAAGAATTGTTTTTATACTCAAAAATCATGAGAGAATCCGTTAAAAGGTTGATTTTTATCGGAATTTTTAAGCTATTCCAATTGTTTCGTTATCATCCGCGAATTACACCATAAACAGCCTCAAAGACAAGCTATATTGAAAAGAATTTGTGACGACTTTTGTTAAAAAGAAAGATTACCTTTTTTTTGAATCGTAATATTTTAACGAAAAAATTTATCAACAACATCTATGTATGCAACAACAATCTGTAACAAAATAGTGAACATCACGAAGTCGACAAGTTTGTTCTTATAGAAATTTGGAGGCCGTTGAAATCTCGTTGTAGGTTCCCTTGTCGTCAATTTTTGTCGTCTCAAAAAATTTGAAAGCCATCCGTTGCTTTCAGAAAATGACTTTGTGAAAATCAGATTCAACTCGCAAAAGAAGTCCTTTGCTTTATTTTAAACCATCCGACGAGAGACTTTAATTTTTCTTTTCGCTTCTTTTTGATCCATTGATAAGTCACCTCCTCGACGGCGTGAAATTGAGATACAAAGTCTTCTCTTTTAAGCCATTTTTACTCCTTTTTGTAGTAATTCTTCTTTTGTCATCCAATCTCGAATCGTCTTCGGGGTAACATTGGGCCGTCGAGCAGCCGCTTCCTTTGATTTCTCCTTTGAAAAACGAAAAGATTTGAGTTTGAATGAAAATAAGTAGGCCTTTTGCTCCCAGAACTGTTGAATTCAACATCATCTAAAAAAGAAAAATTAGTAACGCAATAAAATATGAAAAACATCAGAAAAAAAAAACTACACTTTCGGGCTTACTTTTCTTATTTCGGATACGATAATTTTAGGGAAAAATAGAAAATAAGTGATACCTCAAATAAAAGACCGGTATTATATTCGAGGCGGTCTTCTATTTTTTTTTCAATCACTCCCTAGATCTCGTCGTCTATTCGAGGTGATCTTTTATTCGAGACCTATTCGAGAACTAGCTTATTTATTCTATTCGAAGAAATAAGGTAGTTATTTTTTTACCGGACTATTAAAGCTGTTATTTGTCGTAATTCCTTACTCTAGGCAGTTGAAAAACTAAATCATAAAAACATTTTAAAAAAAGTGAAAAACAAAAACAAAAGTTTGAAAGTAAAGTTTACAAACTCAAAAACTTTTTTATCGGGTTTCGAAGCAATCGAAGCCGCAATCGAAGCAATCGAAGCAGATGCAGCAAATGTAATTAGAGAAGAAAAATTACATTTGAATTTTAAATTTGCATTTCTTTGCCGTATCTACTTTTTAGAATTGCATTACCCGAGATCAACACACTCTACTCACCATAACCCCTCCCCGTTTTCGGGTAGCTGTACAGTCAAAGCTAGCTTTATTTGAAGGCATTCTTTTAAAGCCTAAAGACTCCTCTTTCAAATAGCACAAAAAGCAACCAAAACAATTAACTCTAGGCAAAGTTATTGCCCTCAAAAGTGTCTCTAGTCGTTCAAAAAAGTGTCAATCATTAAGATTTGTTCTCCATAGATGTCACTGATGATTGGAATTTGAACAAAGAAAAACGAGTAGGAGAGAAATGAAAAGTTTAACTCGTTTATAAGGATTGACTTGTGATTTTTCACTTCGTTATTTGTGTAAAGTTGTGTTATGTTCAAAAATCTCAAACTTTTCTTTTGCATTTTGGTGTTTCTCTTTTTATTTTCTTGCACTTTTTATTGTGGCTCAAATAAAGAAGAACATAAAGTACCCAGGAAAAAAAATGGCAAAATGAACATTTTTGAGTCAAAAACTGGCAAGACAATCAAAACAAAACAAAATGAAATTAAAAAGATGAGCCAACAAATCGTCGACTAAAAAAGATCAGCAATCACATTTCCATCATAATCGATCACATATTTGCTCCATTTATTTGGGTTATTTTGAGTGACCACCAAGTATCTCCGAGTTTCGATCGGGCCGTTCAGCAACTTGTCAACCATCTCTCCCTCGATTTCGATCAGTTTAAAAGTTGAGTCTAGACAAGAGAATTTTCGATGAATATTGAGAGAATTGGGAAAATCAAGCAGTGTCACATAGTTGTTTCCTTGATCACGACATTGAAGCAAAACAAGCGAGTCGGTGGGAAAACAAGATGACGTGTCGCTCTCAACGAACTCCACCTGGGCACCCAAAACGAAGCGAAGCGTCTCCAAGTAAACAGCGAATTGGGACCAAGTGTAGAGGTATTTGACCTGTTCCTCGGTTGAGCATGAGGGGTAGAACAGAGCCAGCTCATCCGGTAGATCGATGATTCTCCTTTTCTTGAATGGCCGAAACTTTTTCAGGGCACATTTAGGCAAATGGTCACAGACAGCTCGTGGAGGATTTTTCAGCTGAAAGATGTATCCTGAAATAGCCAGATTTTGCCCAATGCTTGGATTAGAGACTCTTCCTGTGACACTTTCAGAGTCGCCCAACTCGATGTACTCGTTCATTCCAAATTCGGCCTGTTTTCTGATCGATTCCTTGACTTTTTCGAATCTTTCTGATATCTGCGAGACTTCGAGTGCTTGTTCGCAGATAAAGTGAAGCTCACCATCTTCTGGTAAAGTGCAGCTCACCAGACAGATTTTCTTGTTTGCCTTCTTGTTTTCCACTTTCCATTGGCCGTAGAGTTGTCTATTGAAATCGATGCGGATGAAAGTGCAAAAGCCGCCAACTTCATCGACGAAAAGCCACTCATCTCGTGTCTGCAAGGACATAAAGCATTCGAAAGTAATTTTCTTCGATAGTAGATTTGCTTGATGTTGACGAAACTCTTGAATCAGAATGTTTATCTGGTCGTACGATGACCAAGGCAAGAACTTTTTGCAATCAAAATGGTTGTTGTGAAGGCGAGGCCAAACTCCAAAGTACCTTGTCCTGAAACTCACAAAGGCGTGCTCGAAAAATGTTCTCGACGGTGTCCAGTTGACCATATTTCTGTGGATTCTCTTGTTGCTTATGCCCATGAATGTAATGGCCATGCTTCTCGGAAACATCCGAGAAGATCAAATCTAGTTTTTCATAGAATTCGCATTGTTCTTCAGCGCTGAGTGTGTTCATCATCTCGTTATACAACTTGGGCAACTCGTAAAGATAATCTCGATATGGAGTCATGTCCAATGGATCAAATTTGACCAAGTTTTGCTCATCTTTGTAGCTTATCACCGTTGCCTTCTTGAGATCTACTTCGAGGACCGGAATTTCCTCGTTGTTCTCGGGATCGTTGAAAACAAACCACTTTGCAGCGCTGAATGTGTTCATCGCCTCCTTATTGAACTTGGATTCATATTCATTCCGATAGACCAAGTCTTTGTAGCTTTCCACCGTTGTCTTCTTGAGATCTGCTTCGAGGACCGGGATTTCTTCGTTGTCCTCGAGATCGTTGAAACCAATTGGTCGAATGATGTTCTGCTGATGCTCTTCAATTCTTGGTTGATCAAAAGTCGTAATTCCTTTAGCCTAAAACTTTTCTTTTGTCTATTTGTGCCAACGAGAAAACCTTTTTAAAAGCCTGAATTAGCTCGAGAACCCTTTCAGCAGTTGGTCGCTCAGAGCGATTGAAATTGACACAGCTAAACAGAAAACAAAATTGAACAGAAATAAAAAGAAACCTCTGGACAATGCGTTTAATTTCATCCAAGCAATCAGCAGATACAATCTCGATGACTTCTCCCGTCCAGATTTGGCAGAACAACTCCCATTGCAAAAACCCATTTTCACTAATGTATTCTTGAAAGACAACCCTGAAATCAGCAAATAAAAGTTGCATTAAAAGACAAATTGCTATGGTTTGAAGGCTAATAGCTTTCTAAAGAGAATCGGAAACACTAACACAAACCTTCTTTCAATCAATTCCCACACCGTCAATCCAAGTGCATATACATCATTCCGTGGGGATACCTGTAGCTCATTGTTCATGATCTATATAAAAAAATCATCTTCAAAAAAGGCTACCTTGTGATTTCGTTCCTGCATTGAGCTTTGATTTGGATCACGTTGTGGAGGGCTCATGTATTTGTGTGTCCCAGCAATCGAGCCCACACAGGTCACATTCGTCTCTTTCACCAATCCAAAGTCGGCGATTTTCAGCACAAAATCCGATGTCACCAATATACTGAATTTTGTTTTATTCTCAAACTTTAAAATTGGGGACATTGCTTGTTGATAATATTTAATTGTGATAATAATGTCCATTCAAACTACCGCAATCAGCCAGTCATTTTCCCTTCAATTCCCTCAATTTTTCAATGAATCGAATGACAAGATTCAGTCAATGACTGCAACAATCGAGGGATTTGAATGAAATGAGTGCATTTTAGAATGGGAATTAGTTCAGTCATTTTCGAGTCACAAACCACCACTCACTTGTCGGGTTTCAGGTCTCGATGAATGAGTTCCTGCTCATGAATATAATGTAGAGCATCAAAAAGTTGCTCGATCCAAATGATCACGTTTCTCATCGAATAAATGATTTTTACATCCCGGATTACTAAATTTCAAGTTATTCTTTTGTCATCAATCAAAACCAATACCGTCCGTTAACGCTCTCCGTTCACAATATTCCATCTTCAGATAGAAATGAGACTTTTTGTCCTTCATCAACTCGCGAACTTCAATGCACTCGACAATGTTTGGATGAGAGAGCCTTTCGAGGGTTTTGCATTCTTTTCGAAAACTATCCAACTGTTTATCGGTTTTCCCAGTGAAACCGATCGTCTTCACCACATGTTTACTAAAAGGTAGAATAAAAATTTTGTGATAAGTTCTATTAATCGATAATTTTATATTTTTGAAAAGTATTTGTTGTTAGCAAGTTTTCTCTTCATGAATTGAGTAGTCTGGAGCTCAAATCATGCAACTAGGAACGGGTGAGACGGTGAAGTGATCAAATTTTAGGCTTGACATTTTTTTTATGGTAAAACTAAAGTATTTTTGAAATTAGAATCAATTGCTTTTTTAGCAAGAATGATACAAAAGTTAGAACGTTGACAATGGGTACTGCTATCTTGATTTCGAAAAAAACAACGACTGCCATCTAGACGACTGTCAAGTAGCGGACAGCAGACAAAAGCCGGAGCGCAAAGGGAGCATAATGTAATCCGGTTACGAGCTGCAGACCATTCTGCCTCCTCCACGGCGGTTGGCACCTCCACAGCCGACAAAAAGCCTTCCCAAAAGCCATAACACATACACAAACCTGCCGTCTTTATTTGTGAATAGATGAATTTGTCCAAAAGCCCCGCTGGCAATCAAAGTCGCAGCAGCAAAATCGTGCAAACTCATTGCGGGACAACTATTGAATGTTTTTGGAATGAAGTGGCTCAATGTTTGAAATAGTTCGAGTTTTTCGGAGCTCTTGTTTCATTTTTCGATAAGATAAGAAGAGGTCTACTTTTGGGAGTTCATGCAATGGTGAGGGACAGAAAAGTGACGAATTTTTAAATATTTGACTCATCAGCTTCGCTATGTTGAATATCAAGGATTTTTGCTTCACTTTTTGCTATTTTTTGCTTGACTTCAAATCTGATTTGAGTTTTAGTAAGTAGAAGCGATTTAGCGTCGATTGATAGCAAATTTTAACTGATTCTTTGATCGAACACATGTTTTTCCCTCGATCTGATGCTGATCACATACCCACTGGGATTGCTTTTAAAAGCTTACCGAAAAGGTGCATTTCTTTCAGGTTTGTTGTTGTCAAAACTTTGTCATTGTTTTTTTTGCAGCACGAAAACGTGACTGAAGTTGAGAAAATGTTTCTACACTAGAGTGTGTTCCTTGCGAGTAAATAAGTACTCGAGTAAAATTTGCATGAGTAATCTTTACTCGATTAATCGGCGTTTTTCGTCGAGTCACTACGAGTAATCCTCTTTACACGTCGAGTAAATCGAATATCTTTACATTTGAAGGGAATTTCCCACCAAATCAGTTAAAAGGCTGAATATCTTTAAAAGGAGTCTAAGGCTCTTGATTTTCACGCCAATTTTTTTTTTTTGCAATAATTTTCGCTAAAAGTATGGTAATTTTTTCAAAGCGTACATTTTAAAAAAGGCATTACTCGCGAGAAACACACTTTATTCTACACTATCACGGCTATGTTCTCGGCTCGTTGACCAGTTTGGCGATCCTTTTTTCAACGATATTCATATTTGGATGTATTTGAATGTACAATCGAACCTCTCTATAACGTAACTCACGGGACGGCTATGGCTTACGTTATATAGAGGTTTACGTTATATAGAGTGCCGTTTTATATAGCTTAACGTCGGCCGGGACCGGTCACGCCTTACGTTCTAGAGAGGTTTACGTTATATCGAGGTTCGTTATAGAGAGGTTCGACTGTATTTGAATGTATTTGAATGTATTAGAATGTATTAGGTTGGCAACTTAACGCGTCACTACTTAACATGTTTTTTGTAGTTTCAAGCGCCGTTTCTTCCCTCTTTTTTGCATATATACAAAGTAAAATATGTCTGCATAAATAGCATTTAGTGCTCCAAATTTCATCATTCGCTTTTTTGGCAAAAATGGAGGACAAAAAATTCCGTATTCGAGCTGCATTGTTCTACGATTTTAAACAAGGAAAATCACCAGCTGAACCTCATCGCACGATCATCACTGTTTTTGGAAAGGAAAGTATACACATTCGTCAATGTCAACGATGGTTTCAACAATTCCAAGGCGGCGATGAAAGCCTCGTAGACGAGACACACCAAGGATATCCTCCAGAAGTGGTCGACGATGACTTGCTCGCCTTAATTGAAGATTGCCAACGCTCACTGTTCGTGAGTTGGCAGAAATATTTGAAGTATCCCATACGACAATCGAAAACTATTTACACAAACTTGGGAAAAAGAATCGAGTTGGAAAATGGGTTCCTCACGAACTGACCCAAAGCAACAAAATGGCCCGTGTCAATGTCGCCTCAATTTTGCTACAAAAATGTAAATCAAACGACTTTTTTTCACAGGGTTTTGGCTTCTGACGAAACGTGAATCAACTACGAAAACGTTAAACGCAAAAATCAATGGCTATCTACTGGGCAGACCCCGCAAACCACTCCCAAATGGGATATTCATGGGAAGAAGATAATGCTCTGTTCCTGGTGGAACTTCAAGGGATTGGTGCATTATGAAGTGCTGAAACCTGGCCAAACCGTCGATGCTGGTCTTTATTCGAAACAATTAATGAGAGTTAACGAGTCTTTGAAGAAATTCCATTTTTCCCTATCAATTATCAGATTGGGGCTCAAACCGGAGAGAGTCAGATTTTTACACGACAATGCAAAACCTCACACTGCAAAAATCACTTATAAGAAAATCGAGGAACTTGGCTGGAAAGTGCTGCCCCACGCACCTTACTCTCCCGACTTGGCTCCTTCAGATTACTTTTTGTTTCGGTCGCTGAAGCACTTTTTGGAGGGAGAAAAGTTCGATGATCATGCTCAAGTCATAAAAGCAGTGAATGACTACTTCGCCTCAAAAACTCCCAAGTTCTTTGAGGATGGGATCCGGGATTTGCGCAGATGATGGGAAGAAGTCATAGATACTAGTGGAGAATACCTTTCGAATTGAACGCTCTTCTTTTGAGTTTTCTTGAAATAAATGATTTGTTACATAAACGCGTCGTTATTAAGTTGCCAACCTAATATTTGAATGTATTTCCAATGTATTTGAATGTATTTAAATGTATTTAAATGTATTTGAATGTGTTTCAATGTATTGGAATGTATTTGAATGTATTAGAATGTATTTGAATGTATTTGAATTTATTTGAATGTATTAGAATGTATTTCAATGTATTTGGATGTATTTGAATGTATTTGAATGTATTTGAATGCATTTTTATTTTCAAATAATGTCAATGTAAAGCTTGTAAGCTTTACTTTATTAAGTTTTACAAATCTATGCTAAACTTTTCTTCCAATTTTTGTACAAATGTTCATTTTAGTCGTCGCGATTGTTCGAAAGACCGTTGTAGAGACTGAAATTGGGAAATCGAATGGGGGTTTTTGATTTTATTGTAAAAGTTTGACAAGTAACCTAAGTGCTTTAACACATAGACAACCGCGCTTTTTAAGCCGAACTACCGTTTCGGATCGAGATTCAAAATCACCATCTAGAGCCCAAAAAAAACTTGTCACTAGGCGTCAAAAAAGTGATCAGAAATTCAAAGTTGATCTTTGATTTTTCAGTTTTCACCAAAAATCTAGGATTTAAAACTGAAATTTACAACTTTATAAGCAAATTTTATCTCTTAAAATGCTGATAAAGTGAGAAAAGCTTTGAAATCATTTGAAAGCTTTGCAAATTTCCGATTATTAAATCAATAAAAAGAAAAATTACCGAAACTTAAATAATTCTATTTTCATTAAATTTATATAAGATTTAAAAAGAATTTAAATAAAAAATAGAATTTTTTTAATAAAAATCCGATTTTTTTTTATAAAAACCCGGTTTTTCCGCTTTTTACGAAAGACCACACAATTTTCTAATAAAATTAATGTTGGATTCGAAAAGAGGACTCAAAATTACATATCCTGATAAATTTTCAGCTTATTTGGTCAAGCCATTCACAAGAAATTCGGAACAGCCGTGACTCGGCATCGAGTCATGACTGTTCCACGGGTCATGAGTTGCAAAGCTTAACTCGGCATCAAGTCATGGCTGTTTCACAGGTCACTAGTTGTAGTTGTCAAGCGTAACTCAGTCCCGCCAAGTCAAGATCAAGTCACGCAGTCGTCTATGTGTTAACAAGTTTTCTTAACATGACAGTTTGTAAAGAGTTTTTTTGAAAATGAATAAAAACTTTGTCTTCTCACCTTCCATATCGACCGTTTGAGTAGTCTTGATTGTAGGGATAGCGATTGTTATAGTTATTTGAATAGGGATAACGATTGTTATAGTTATTTGAATAGGGATAACGATTGTTGTACAATGATGAGGAAGATGGGTAGTTACTGTTTGACGAATAGATGCTGCCTCTATCGTACTCTTTTGATTGATCTTTTGATGTCACTAAAATTGATGGATTTAAAAAAACATTGTATTAAGCTTCTAGATAAGGGGAATTTTTAGAATCAAGACAAAGCGGAGATCTTAGACAAAAGTCTAAGATCTTCACCTTAGACTTTTGACTGTTAATGAAAGCCAACTCACCAAGTGCAAGCAGCAAGACGAAGATGAGAAAGCCAAGGAGTTTCATTTTTGTGAAATAACGCTTGAAATGAAAATCTGATTTTTCTTATATACTCTTTCTTATTTGAGGAATTTCTAAAGATTTTTCTATTTATTTGTTCTTGTTGTGACTGTTGTGACTGTCGTTTCTTTGAAAGGTTAAATGTAAATAAAAGTTTACTCAAATAGGATCACCAGAAATGTCTAGACACTTGTTTCTTTTAAAAGAAAATACTGTAAATCTCAAGTATTTTTGTTTATTTTATTTACTTAATCAAATAAACACG